CCACCAGAGATGTGGGTCATCTACAACTATTCATATTAACCCTCGTAACTTCAATCAACCAAACGTGTATTAACATGTGGAGCTATTCAGCGCTCTCAATAATGTATGAAATACTAGACAGCTGAACACGTTCTTACAATCTCCAATCACCACCCAGGTCTGGCTCGACAGGCAAAATGTAGTAACTCCTGTCCCAATGACTGCCACACAGAGACCCCAACTGCGGGCTCGGATAAAGAAATCGTGCTCGTAGTAGTCGGACATCACTTGCCACTGTCGCACGGTCAGTTGGCCGTTCATGCCGACCACTGCTGCCATTATCTTTGTTTGGCCTCCCGAAGATCCACTCGCACCCTTCGGCGGCCTCAGAACCGGGACAACCCTGGCCCCACCAGCCACACCGGCTGCGTAGGACGTCCGTACTGCCGGCCATCCAGGGAGGTGGGAAAAATTGGTAGGACGCTCTACGCAGGATCTTGAGAATTGCTCTTCTTCATCAAATTTGTCTGTATCACCTGGCAGAGTATGGTACGGCTGAGTGGACTCTTTAGGAATGGGACGAGTGGGCTCTAAAATCATTGGGAAATATTGGTTGTAAGAGTATTCGTCTAGTAGTGAAGTTATTTGCATGCAAGCAACATCTTCGAGCACAATACAGCATAAAAAGGTATCTTTTAAGAGGGGAATTATTTGAATGTTTTTATAGAAAGTAATCAGTCATTGTGAGAGTCAAGGTTCAAGAAATCGGAGCTACCCCGCAAAGGGATGTTTACCGAATATTAAAATTAGCGCCTATAAATCAGACATATTTGACGCTGTGTCACTCCAAAGTTGATTAATTAATAAAGTCTACTTATCAAATTACATTATACCTATTTTCTTTACTTTATGGCTCCCCCTCTCCAGCAAAGAAACTTATGAGATTCTGAGCAGTGAATAGAAATGGCCCTATTTATTTTCTAGGAACCTCGATCAAAATTCGGCTAAATTGACGAAAGTGAAACAAATAATACGATATGTCTAAATATAAGCCTATCACGTGTTGAATTATTTTTTATAATATGTCTTATTATATAGTATGCT